TTTTATAACTATTGTCATATGTTACATGTGACGACAATTATAAATCAACCATCATTAAAAATTTGAAAGACGATTCATACATAATTGTTATTGAAAGACATCATACTTTGTATATTTTGTACTAGTTTAAATATGAGTAAATAAAGTTCTAACTTGAAAAATGAAGTGTCAAATAATATGTTTTCATTCCAAGTTGCAATAACTTTGTTTGCATTCTTAGTTACAAATGATGCATTGAAATATGTTGTGAAGGAAGATAAAAATACTGCAATTCTCGTTGGTTACAAATGAGAATATGTTTTTTGAGCCCCTTGGAGTGAGAAAGAATGTGTTTAATTTATTGGTATGGAAAACAATAAATATGGATTAAATTTTATTAACCATGTTATTTTGGAAGAAAGTGTTATTATGTTCTTATATATAATAGGTCATGGAGCCACTTATAATCTAGTTAAAGAATGATTTTAACATTCCCATAATACCATTCATAAACATTTATACTATATTAGTTATGTATAAGTTCACAATTGATTTTATGCATCATGATGCTTCTAATTATATAAAAAAGTTGATGACCATTATTGGTCTTGTTTCAAACATTGCATATACATGTTGTTACATATAACTAGTTGTCATTTTCGAATAAGAAAAATCTATACAAGCACGACATATTGTATTAATTTTAATATGTGTTTTACATTGTGTATTTAGGATTGATATATTTATGATGCTAAGATTTTTGCATACTTCGTTGAGACTACATCTAAGATTTATCCTCAAAAATGTATTTTTTTAAGTACCATAATTATTTTTATTTGAATTATGAGTATTTTAATTGACTTTTTAAGATTTATTTATTAATTTGTAGGTAAATATTATCTTATTGACATGATATATTCATTGTTTAAAGTGCAAATCAATAATAAAAACACTAGAAGGGAGATGAATTATGTTTTAGTTGATTTTAAATAAATCGAAGAAAGTTATGGGTACATTGTATGACTTTGTAATTTCTTTAAAAAAGAAGAAGAAAGAGCATACTCTCATATTGATTTTAAAATCATAAGTTAGATTATATGTTTCACAAAAACATTAAAGACAATATATTTCAATCATAATTCAATGTTAGTTAAAGAAATAAACAAAAATGATAAATACATATATTTTATACTAATTAGTCTTGACATTTGACTATATCCAATTATTAACAATATGTTAAGTTCTAATAATAAACAATGATACAAACATGAGAATTTTTCATTTCTACTCTTGGTTTATAATACAAATATTATTTTCTTAGTCTTTTCATACTTGAAATACATAAGCACTATGTGACAAGCCCCTTTAGACTTTTATTCTTTTCGATTGTCTCTAGGGTTGAGACAAGTAGTTTGCTAAATCTTTTCAAGCTTGATACAATACTATTTTCTCAAAGGCTTGAAACAAATATTCTTTTCTAAGACTCTTCAAGCTTTTCCATAGCAAGGTGTTTGAAGGTGTTCTAGAACACCTTGGTTTTTTTTTGCATGTTGTAGGCTATACATCTTATGGATAGACTAAATAAGTTCATTAAGACTAGATAACTCTTAAAAATATAAGATGGAAATTTGGAGGTAGATACTTTACAATATATGGTCTTTTTATAAAATTTAGATATGATATCAAATAACGATACAAAAAATATGTTCATTCATTTTAGATGACTTTTATTTTATATGATATGAGTTGTGGAACTTGACCTATCTTAATGTTATGTATGAAGATAATGTTTCTTGTTCTTGTAGAAATAAGATTTAACTTGTTGAACCTAAAAACTCTAGTCTTAATTTTAAGATTATTTTTTTCATGTTAACTAAGAGTATTTGACATGTTAAGTACAATAACAACTATCTCTTTCTTCATCCTTGTTCTTTGTTTGTAACTCTTGAAGAGATGATCGTTTTTATTCTTTATTTAATAATAATTGTTAATATCCTATCTTATTCTTCGTAATTGAGTCTTCATCATTTGTTATTAATTATTTTAGGTAGACTGATTTTTATCTTTTATCATAAAAAATAATTTTACTACCATTATATAGAGTTAATAACTAATATAATAAACTTTTCAAATTTATTGTACATCCTCGTTTCTTCTTACATTGACCTTCAACTTTTTGACTTGATAGATGTTTTATGCTTCTTACTATTGAGCTTAAACATCTTGCTAATATTTTTTTCCCCCTTTTAGAAACACTATCTACTTAAATGAATAAATAAATCAACTATATATATATATATATATATATATATATATATATATATATATATATAGGGATGACAATTAAATCCGTACCCGTGGGGACCGACTCGTCCCTGCCCGAGTTTGACGGGAAACCCCGAGTTGACCGGGGCGGGGTCGGGTTCGAGTTTTCCCGCTTTAAAAGTCGGGGCGGGGCGGGGATGGGTAATGCAATCCCCACCCCGACCCCGCCCCGTCTCGCCTCGACTTTATATTTAAATTTAAATTTTAAAATATTAATATTTTAAAAGTATTTCATTTTCTTTTTCTATTACATATAAGGTTATTTTTTTATATTTCACCAATTTTTATTTTTCTTCTACCCACTTTTTAATTTTTTTTATCTTTCTCAATCTTTTATATCAATTAATTTATTATATTATTCTCTCCCTTATCTTTCAGCTTTTTCACATTTTCTTAGTCTCTCCCATCAATTTGTTTTTTTTTCAATCTTTTCAACCAATTTGATGAACACAAAATTAATCTTTTTCTTTATCTTTTTCTAAATATTTTACATCAATCTTAGTAGTAACTAATATTAGTTTATTTATAATTTATATTTATTATGCCATATATTTTTTATCTTATTATGCTTATTTATCATATATCAAATTTTATCTTAATAAAATAATTGCATTTTAAAGGATTAAAAGAAATTAATAATTTAAACTTTTATTACTTCAAACTAATTAAATAAGAATTAACTTATTAAATATTTTCTTATAAACTATATATTGACAACTTAAAAATGAATTAACTTATATGTATAATTAAATTTTTGAATACAGTATTATAATAATAATGTTATAAATATTCAAATATTTGAATACGAGTGTTATAATAATAATAATAATAATGTTATAAATATTATATATATATATATATATAAATAAAAAATAATTAAATATTTCTTTTACATATATATTTTAATATAAATATAATAAATTAAAATGTATATTTAATTAATAATAACTATAAATTATAAATATTTATTTATATATAAAAATACATAGTAAAATTAATTTATTATAAATATAATTATCTTTTTAAAAATAATATAAATTGGGGACGGGGCGGGGCGGGAACCGAGACCCAGCGGGACGGGGATGGAGACTTAATTCCTAACCCGGCGGGGATCGGGGCGGGGACGGGGATGATTAAAAAGTCGGGGCGGGGACGGGAGGCAAAACCCGCCCCGCCCGCCCCGTTGCCATGCCTATATATATATATATATATATATATATATATATATATATTCTTAAGAGAATTTGAAAAAATAATATATATATATATATATATATATATATAATAAATAAAATATCTTAAACATATATTCTTGACAAATCATGTTTATACAAAATAGCTTAATCAAATGATATAAACATATACATCAAAATCACTACTTGTTGTTAAAGCACATCCACAAATAATATATGCATTATACGTGTATTCTTTTAGGTGCATCATACATATATGCATTAATGATCATGTTGAATTATAATAAATATATGAATGTTATCACGTATGCCTATTAAGTAATTAGTCAATACAAACATCATTACACTAGATTGTGAGATGATACAAGCATCAAACTTAACGTGTGTTTATCATGATGCAAATGTTACATATAAGATCTTGTTTGAATATATATACTTATGTGGGTAATTATATATATATATATATATATATATATATATATATATATATATATATATATTTAAACGCATACTTGAGGTATAATATAGTTGGATTGTTAGAGGGATATAATCACTTCTTTCTCTATTTAGACTTTTTTAGGAATAAATATTATTTATCTTTTTTATGTTTATTAATTTTTTTTAGTTGTTTTAGTTTGATTTTTTTTGTTATTAATAAATTATATAATTGTTAAAAAATGTGTCACATTTCCTATATGAGTAATTTTTGGGTTGTTAAAATGTTTATTAATAAAATAACATAATTGTTTCTCATATTTATATATAAAAGAGAAAGTAATATATATGCTAATGTACTTAGACAAATAAGTTAGTTGGATTATTGGAAGGATGTAGTGACTTTTTTTTTTGTATTTAGACTATTTTTAGGAATAAATATAATTTATTTTTTATACATATATTTAATATTTTTTTATATAGTTTTAGTTTGGCAGATGTTAACCTAATTGAGATGACATATAATATGGATATTGAAAAAAAAGTGTAATTTTTTCCATTTTATATTTTATTCAATATTGTAATATTGTAAGTTAACTCATTAAGAAATGGCCATATACTTTTCCAAAATGAACATGTTATTTTATAAGGCCTATAGAATCTTTTATTCAAAATTAATAAAAGATACAGTTTTTTTGCACGCATTATTACTCGAAGCCTTCGTGCCAATCACAATGATATTCTCCTTGGTTCATATGTCTTAAGGAACATAAAAAATTATTATTTGCTATTTGCAAAGAATAATATAGTGTCCAAAAAGTCTAAACCCCGATTAGTTCATTCAGGCAAGTGAAAAAAACGAAGGCTAGTCGACGAGTGCAGTTGTTTGACACTTTGCGCTCTGGTTCTCTTCCAACGGTTCAACTTTGACTCTCCTTGTTCTTTCCATCTTCTTCTCGTTTCCATGGCTTCGCAACATTCCCTAAACCCTACAACAACTCCTTCACCGCTATATTTCTGATTCTTCAGTTACTCTCCCCGTTTCCGTTGCCACTTGCGACTATCACAATGAACGGGGCCGTTGATTCCGCGCTTTTCGCTTTTCTATTTCCCTCTCTTTGGGAGATCAAAGTCGCCGTCGCCGCCTCTGTCTTCGTCATAATCGCCTATCGCTTCTTCGCCGTCCGAACCGGACACCTCCGAGCCGATCCGTCGCTTCCCGACACCGCCGTTGATGTCGCCGACGACAAAGACAAGGTTATTTTCTTCGTTTCCTGAGATCTTCTTGCAATGCTACATCACTATTGTCGTGATGTTTCTAAATCATGGAAGGATTTCGGGAATTCGTTATTTTTAATCTTTTCTGACTGTCACGTGTGTTTTGATCTATAGAATGATCTTGCAGTTTATTTTCGGTTCCTTTTATTTTTTTTTATGGTTTTAGCGGAATTGATAATTTTCCTGAAGTGTAGCTGTTGTGTGGATTCAATTTTGTCGAGTTCTTTTGGATTCTGGATTGTGATCACTAGTTCGTTTGTGGCTTGTCAAGAATAAAAGTACTGTTAGGATTCATAACATAGTGACTTGAAGTTCTCGTGATAGTTGCTTAACGGAGAATTTTTAACCCGTTGACATTCAGTTTTGTCTCTGCTATGAATTCGTTCGGATTGATCACGAGTTGTTTGAACACGTGCCTTGTCAAGAATGGAAATACTGTTTAGGCTATATAACATATTGGCTCGAAATTTGTTGTTAGTTTCATCATGGAGTAATTTTTAACTTGATAGTCATTCAGTTTTATCTCTGCTAGAAGTTCCTTAGGATTGTGAATTGCAATCACTAGTTATTTTGCGTTTGTGTCAAGAACAAAAAATACTGTTTGTGTTTATGACTTAGTGGCTCTAGATTTTCGCGTTAGTTGCTTTGTGGGGTAATTTTTAACTTGTTGACATGCAGTTCTGCACTTATTTTTGTAGATAGGGCTGCCTAAAGTGGATTCTCAAGCCAGTTCAGCCTACCTCATCAAGGTATTATTTAGGTTTTCTAGCAATCTGTAGTCCGGACCTCCTTCCTCATAGAAGAAGGCAACTTGTCTTGCTCTCAGGTTTGCCTCTGTGTGTGTGTATACTAGAAGTTATTAATGATATACGGATTTGTTTTTAAATTCTCTTTGAAGTTAGAACTGTTGGCTGCTAAGAATCTTGTTGGTGCAAACTTAAATGGCACATCAGATCCGTATGCTATCATTACATGTGGCAATGAAAAGCGATTCAGGTTTGTTGATCTGATTTATTTACCTCTTTTAGTTAAATTTATCACTCCAAGAAATGGTGGAGGCAGAGGAAAATTATGTGTCCTGGGGGTTAGGGGGATTCATTCCAAATGGAGGCATCGACTTTTTGGTTTAGAGTTCTATACTGTAATCAACCTTAGTTCTCTTGCTTTCTTTTGTAAAGGAATTCAGTTTGTTGCTATTCTATTTTTACTTTGCCTTTGTATGTTTAGAATTAATCAGGAGGAATAATACTGTGATGCTTGGGAATAAGTGTACAGCACCCATATATGCATTGTTCCAGAAATATTTTTTACGTTAAAGGGATTAATAAACTATCTGCATTGACCATAGAATGATAATAAAATAAGGAATGTGTGCTATCAGAGTCTGTTAGAAGTGTGACATGGATAAGATAATATGTTTCCCATACTCAGCATCTCTTAAAAGAAATATTTTTGCTCAAAACTGTTCATTGGGCTCTGGTGTGCTGATGCAGTTCCATGGTCCCTGGTTCAAGAAATCCAATGTGGGGCGAGGAGTTCAATTTTTCTGTTGATGAACTTCCTGTTCAGGTAGCTTGCTTGTCATCTATTTACCATGTGTTGAATTTGGGTAATTATCACCTATTTGTACAACTATGCACCAACATTTTTTTAGTCCTTGTGCCCAAATGCTGTCTTCCTTTATGTCATCAAAATGAATACTTTGAAAGGAAACTAAATGTGGTATGGTGTTCAATCATAAGAATGGAAGATTTGTCATGTAAATGACTTGTGATCCGTAAGTGAAGTGAAATGTTTGACGGTAATTGGGACAAAAAATCTAGAAAAGGTTATTTTCAAATTATGGGAACTAACAATATTAATTTTAAACCTGGAGGACCAAAAGTAAAATTACTCCAATTTTGAGGGACTACAAACATATTTAAACCTAAATTTAATGTAGAGATACATTTTCTTTTTCAAACCCAGTCAAAGAAAACTGATGAGAAGAATAATGCAAATAAATATATTATGCAAATCTAACTTAACTTTTTAGCATGTTCTGGGATTGATATCTATAAAGGAGTGCCAGCATATTTCTTGCATTATGTCAGTCAAGCTTTTCATTTGACAGATTATATCTGTTATGTAGGTTTTCGTGAAACTGACTTCTTTCCCTGCTGACGTAGCAGATCAATGTCACAATTTATGACTGGGATATAATTTGGAAAAGTGCAGTTCTTGGTTCAGTGACTGTTCCAGTTGAGAGTGAAGGTCAGACTGGTGCAGTGTGGCATACTTTGGATAGTCCATCAGGGCAGGTAATACCTGCTGTCAGAAGAAGTTATGTTTGGTTTTAATGGTTTTATTTGTATTTTGGTTCTATTGCCTTTTTATGTCTCAAAAATATGATTATTATGATGTAACTGCGTGGCAGGTTTGTCTCCATATAAAAACAATAAAACTGTCTGGAACCAGGTGAGGATTTTGGTATTATATTTGTTTATAAAAATATGTATTTTGTAAGTTATGTTGGTGCTAGATACTTGACTGTTGATATTATTATTATTATTATTTTTATTATTATTATTATTTTTATTATTATTATTATTATTATTATTATTATTATTATCATTATCATTTGTTGGTTTATTTCTTATAGCCACGTATTGACTGCTCTGATAGGATAAATGGTTATGGAGGAGCCAACCCTCGAAGAAGGGTCCCAACCTTGGAAAGACAGGGGCCCACTGTAGTCCATCAAAAGCCAGGGCCTCTTCAGACAATATTTTCTCTTCATCCAGACGAGGTTACTGACAGAACTTATTTCTGGTTAGCAATTAATAATATGGAATTTTGTAGATCTGACAAGTGAAGCATATTTTCAGGTTGTTGATCATAGTTATTCTTGTGCACTTGAGAGGTCATTCTTGTACCATGGTCGTATGTATGTCTCAGCATGGCACATTTGTTTCCATTCCAATGTGTTCTCAAAGCAAATGAAGGTCAGACTATACTTCTGTTTTGTCAAGGTCGATCAAGTAGTGAACACTATAGCATACATTGTTTATTGAATGAGGTTGTTGATCCATCACTTGTGTTGGCTGTTTTAATTTTATGATTTTCTGATAATGTTGACAAATTGTTAAAAATTTGAGCGGAAGAGTAGTTTAGTTTTGTTGTAAAGTTTCTAGTTTTGGGAAACAGTTGTATTATTAGGTAGAGTTTTTCCTGTACCTTTATTTCTATGAAACTGAATTATTACTTTATACTACTGTAGAGAAAAAGGCCTTCTATTACGTATTAACATTGCCAATCTGTTAATTTGTTGTGATTCTTTGTTTTTGTGTCTTTCTACTTTGGTTACTATTAATTTTTTTTTTGGAATATTTGACAGGTGCTTATTCCATTTGAAGATATAGATGAGGTATGATCTCCACCTCTCCCCTTCCTCACTAATTATTTCAGTTAAATTAAAATTTTCATCTGGTGTAACTTTTTCTTAAGATTCGAAGGAGTCAACATGCATTCATTAATCCTGCTATAACAATTATTCTTCGCATGGGTGCTGGTGGACATGGTGTCCCTCCTTTGGGAAGTCCTGATGGTTAGTAACTTTTGAAACACTTAGCTTTATTTTCTACGGGGAACTTTAATTCTACTTTATGTTACAATTCAATGCTTGTTCTGATTTTTCATAAATGTGTCAATCCAATTACGCTTAGCTTGTTCATATTTTTCATAAATAAATCAATCCAATTCAGCTTAAGGGATTGCATCAGCTTGGGTCTATGGTTCTACACATTCTCTGTATGTATCACACCAATGTCATTTGGTGCCTGGGGATTTTCCTTTATTGTTGACTGATTTCCATCTCTTCATAAGTACTGGCATCTTACTATCTTGCTGGACACTGTTCATAATGTTATTCTGAATTTTGATAATATTTCTTTTAAAAATAACATGGAATTCTTTCTTTAGTGATTAAAAGTGAGCACTGCATATCACAGACGGCCTTTTGTAGATGATTTGATTAGATCTGCATTTTTCTTGTTTTTATCATTTCAGGTAGGGTACGATATATGTTTGCATCATTTTGGAACAGGAATCATGCATTCAGAAATCTGCAGCGTGCAGCTAAGAATTTCCATGAAATGTTGGAAGCTGAGAAGAAGGTTACAGTCTTTGCCTATCAATTTGGTTTTACTTGATTTGAATAAGTTGCTTCATTTTATAAATCTGTAATGGATTCAAACATAGGAATTTGACTCCTCGAAAGTGATTGTACTCATTGGAGGGTAAAAGATCAGAGTCTATATATTTTGATTAAAATCTATACTGTTGCATTTTCACTAAACCATTATATTTTTTACTTTACCCTTCGAAGTATACCCATCACATTACAATTTTTAAAATCTCTATGCCTTGTATTTTGGGAACATGTTAGAAGCTGAGAAGGTTACAGTTCTTGCCTAATCAAATTGGTTTTCTTGGTTTTGATTAAGTTACTTCATATTATAAAATCTGTAAGAGATTCAAACATAGGAATTTGACTCCTCTAAATTGATGGGTACTCATTTGAGGGTAAAGTTTGGAGTTTCTATGTATTTTGATGACAATTTATACTGTTGCTTTTTCCCTTAACGGTTATATTTTGTACTTTATCCTTTGAAGTGTACCCATCTGTTAGGAACCAAGAAATAAACAGAAAAAGAAAAGAAAGTTTCTTTATTGAATAGAATGAAAAGAACAAGAAATAGGAGAAGACTCCTCCAAGGTTTCCCTTCACAAAGGATTTCTCCTTTTACAAAGAGCTAATGCAAAAAAAAATATGAACTCCCTTCTCCTATCCTTCATACCCTATTTATATCTAAACAACACCTTATGCAACTAACTAACTCATTAGTATGCTAACTATCTTACTACCTTCTCCTTTCCCCTTATACCCTAACACCATCACATTTAGAGAGCCAAATTCTACTTGTTATAAAATTTGTATGCCTTTTATTAACATGTTATAAAACTGATATACGTGTTGAGATTGAAAAAAATACGGGACATTAGATGAATTGTGTGTTCCTGATCTATCCAGGAAAGACTCTTGTTTTTTAATAATGACTCATAAAAACAATGAATAAAGGTTATCCTAATTTACATAACTACATGTAGGCATATCTCTTAATATCCCTATTTGCATAGTTTACTTAACATCTGAATCTCCCCCTCAAGTTTACATTCTTGATATATCTATAATTATTCAAGAAACTCTCCATGGTTTATTGAGGACCTTTGCCAATTGATCATTTGAATTGATATACGCAAGGGTGATGTCTCCATATAAAATCTTATCCATGATGAAATTTGGTTAGTCCTAATGCGCAAATAGAGGAAGATGTGCAAATATTGTCATAATATTTGTTTCTCTTTCCTTTTCAATTTTATATTAATTTTTATCCTGAAATTTTTGGACAAATATGGAACAAGTAACAGAAATTAAGTGTTATTGTTAATCATTATACAGGAAAATGCAGAGTCAGAGCAGCGTGCACATAGCAGTTCTGTTAGAGGAAATAAGCTACTGGAAAAGGTTCCTGAAGAAAGCATGTCAAAAACTAGAAAACTTCCACATTTTATCAAAGAAGAGGCTTTAGTTGGTATATACAATGTATGCATTGTTTTCACCTTCTATTTTCATGAGTTCAACTATCAGCTAAATTATTTATATATAATATATATAACTTTTGATCCTTCTACAGGAAGTTTTTCCCTGCACAGCTGAGCAGTTTTTTAATTTATTATTAAATGACGGTTCAAATTTTACTAGCAAATATCGTTCAATAAGAAAGGACACTAATCTTGTGGTAAGTTTTTTTTCAATTGCTTTTGTGATTCCTTTTGAAAGCTGACAATTTTGGTTATTATGGAAATCAAATTGAAAGAATCGAAAGCTTACTTATTCATATGTCTCCAAAATTATTGTGCAAGCAAGCTTGGTTTTATTCTAAAATAGGTGAACTGTTTTTGTTGGCTAATGTTGAAAGCAAAGCTAGGTGCACCATATAATATTGTTTCAATTTAAGATTCTCATCTTAAAATTAGGTCTTTGTATACATAATAATACCTTTCTTGCATTGGACATTCTTATATCATCTAGTTGTGGTAATGTCAAAGAGGAGTGTTACGAAGATTAAGGTTCGCACGGAAACCTACACAAGGTAGTCAAAATCGATATCTTCAGATTGAAAAGGGAAAAATAAAATGGAGGATCATATATATACCAAGTATTTAAATATTGATTAGCAAAAATCAAGGGAGAGGAAAAGTCCCAGATTTACACAAAAAAATGAAAAATGCCGTTTTTTAAAGGCTGAAAGTGAGAAGATATTAGCCCACAGATGGTTTTACAATGAAACTAAGTCCATATGAATGCAGAACTGCCAGATTGATGGATAGTCTGGTAGGTGGTAGTACAAAAACTAGAGTATGAGGTGTTAGGATCAATTGCTAGGTATGCGACTTGAGATTCTAGTAATGTGGTTTATAATGTCTTGTTCTCTCTAATTACAAGAGCTAGCTTCCTTGCTAAAATTGAAAACCATATACTTTGCCTAGTTGTGCCACATTGTTTGGTTCAATTCTTGGAGTTCAAGTTATATATTTGTTGGACAACATCAATTTATGCCAATTGATTTTAATACGAAATTTGACATGGTATCAGGACCTATAGCTCATCTTGGTTTATTGCCTATTCTGATTGAATCACCTATTTTGGTAGACACCTATGGAAGAAGTGGTGTTGGGAAGTCTCACATTGCCTACTTCAACTCTTGGAGTAAGGCTTATATATCAATTGGACAATTTTGCCTAATGTCAATTGATTTTTATCATGGTATCCAACTCTGTAACTCATCTTGTTAATTGTCTATTATGGTAAGTTCGTCTAGTTTGGTAGACATCTATGGAGGGATGTATTGGGAAGTTCCATATCAATAGTACAATTTATCTAAATGTCAATTGATTTGAAGATGAAATCTAATAATAGGCATTTGATGTAAACACATCATTATAGAAAAGCCCATGGTCTCACTTCTAGGAGTTCTCACTGTTGGTCACTCGTTGAATATATTTTGTCATCTAAATGTGATCAAACAATTCAATTCATGGAAAAATATGTAGTAGTTAGGGAAACTTAAATCATATTCTTGAGGAGCATTGATGAATTATGATAGATCTAGTTTTCAATTGTAAAAAAGTTATAAAAGGAGGATTGTAAGAGTTTTAATGTCTAAAATCTAATTGAAAGCAATTAATAGAAAAAACAGTAAACAAGTGTAGTAAAATTTTGGAAATTCTATATGAAAGCAATGGCTAATTCTTCAATATCATCTTGTTCCAATGAGTATCATTGATTTCTAGATCTATGTAGAAATTCTAGTCATTCATAATTCAATTAGCTAGATCAAATTCAGCTACCATATTTAATTGATTTATAAACACAAATCAAATTCTAAGAAAAATAACTATATAAACCTAGAAATTGATTCATGTTGTGATTGGTAACAATCCCAATTACATTGATTATAATGGTTTTAAACGGGGAAGATCTTGAAGAATCAAATCTCAATTAATGAAAACAAAATTTAGATTGGAAAGTGTTAAGATTGTAAATGAAAGTAAATTGTAGAAATTAAATGAAAGCAATAAAGGAAAGACAAGATTTAAATCATCTTGAATTGAAGAAACTTGAAGAATAATTCATATAGAAACTTGAAATGAAGAACTTGAAAGGTCTACACTAAGAAGTAGAGAGGATTTAAAACTAAATCTCAAAACTGAAATTTGCAAGAAGATAAGTTATATCTTTTGGCTTTTCCAAGCCTATTTATACAACAATGAAGGTTACAGAATGCATAAGGCTGCCCGCAAACAACAAATTAGAAAAGTTAAAACTTTATTCGGAAATTCTGCAGAAGTATGGTCTGCATAATCTTGCTAAGCAAAATAATTAGTTATGTTAGTTGCACCAAATTCAATTTTTTTGCCAGCAAAATTGGTCATTGCTGAGCAGATTGGTAAATCTAGAAATGAATTTTTTGTTATAAATTCATTGAGTGGATGTTTGCTCTTTTTGAGCAAAATTTACTTTGAAATCGACTTTAATCTTCTTTAATTTATCATTTCTACTTCAATGTATGAATATTCAATAAAATGCGCAATTTAATAAACAAATTCACTAAAGATCTTTTTAATTCTATTTAATAAAACTATGCTAAAAATATATAATTAAATGATATAATTATATACAAAATAAATTAATAAAAACATTGATAAAATGTATTTATTAGTTATTGTATCATTCATTTGCAAATAAATTGTACATCTTCTTGGGAATGATGCTTTGTCACTTGGATATGACCCTTCTCTCTTTTTCCTTGATATATTTTTCTATTATTGAGAATAAAGAAAAAAGACAACTTTATATTTGTTTGTTTCCTATGTACTTAACTTTTGATAGCCAAGTGACTTTGGGTCTTAAGGTGTTGGTTTGCTCTATGGTTATTTATGCGTTTGCAGATGGGCCAGTGGCATACGGCAGATGAATACGATGGTCAAGTCCGGGAGATAACCTTCAGATCACTCTGTAACAGCCCTATGTGCCCTCCAGATACGGCCATGACAGAGTGGCAACATCATGTTCTATCACCAGACAAAAGAATCCTGGTTAGATTGTTGCTTTTATTTACGGATGATGAAATATCGATGGAGCATATAATGTTAAATGATTATGTTTTAATGTTGAAGCTTTTTTGTGGTCTAGTTAACTTTTGCTTTTTTAACTCATATCCTTTCCTTTTCTAAGACTCCCGCTTCCAATGAAAAAACACCGTTTTTCTTTGGTGTGTTCTTAGTATCTAATGAGATGCTCTTGTGACTTCTTTTAGGTGTTTGAAACTGTGCAGCAGGCACATGATGTTCCATTTGGATCGTATTTTGAGGTAGGGAATACGTCAGAGATCATATCTTGATACTCAGCTCTGTTTGCTACGTGTACTCCTATAAAATATATTTTATTCTTGTGATCTGATTTGAATCATTCCAATTCTATATATTATTATTTAATAGTTTAATAGACATATGATATGTGCAATCAAGAAAATTCCCTATAGCGTGTGTGGAAGAGTATGATGCACTGTCATTCGAATCTGCATTTGTAAACCATATTCTACTGATTATTGTAAATTTAAACCTTAAACTTTGACGGGATTGTGGAGGAAGGAAAAAGAAAGTTTCAAACACATGCTTTTCAAGTTCTGTATTAATAATTTGTTCAATATAATCCTTATTGCAAAAGTGATTTTGGCTAACTTTGAATTCAGCCATGAAATTCTACATATATATTATATGTAATACTGGAATTAATCTATTATCTTACCCTCAAAAGGGCTCATTGGTATTGCTCATACAGGTGGTTAGCACATTTTGAATTGTGTGAAGCTGCAACCCACCAAACAACTGTCGAACACTTATATTCTAGCTTTTATGGTGTACACTCCTGTCTTCATACTACTAGGCCTTGTTAAAGAAATGCCAACTACAAAAGGAAGGATAGTTGGCATTTTTAAGTATTGATGTAAAAGCATTTATTATCATCAGAAAGAACGAGTTCTAACCTTCAGAAGTACCTTTTTTTAAATCCTAGATGCTCACCTCTGATAATTGGAAGGACTACAGTTAGCAATTAAGGGATGAACATTGAAATAGAATAATAACATACCAATTATCGTCCCTTCATGAATATATAGATGTGTTTGTCTCCCGGCATATTTTTCCCAATATTATATTATATATTTCTGATAGATGATGTTGTTGGGTTATTGTTGCACTAGGTACACTGTAAATGGAGCTTGGAGACAATTAATGAGAGCTCATGTACTCTGGACATAAAAGTGGGTAAGTTGTAGTTGATCTCCTAAATATTGTCACATTTACTTCTTATTCCCCAAGTCTGTCATTGATGATGATCTGCTAATCACCGACCACAAAAACGTGTGAACTATGAAAGACCCGTGATATTATTTTGTTTTTTGGTTATTTCCATGATCTTCGCCCCTTCTCTTTTGACAGCACAGCCTGGATGGTTTGACACCATTTTCTCGCTAAGCTTTATTTACATAGAACTCACTGCTAACCAGGCTCACCCATTTCTCTATTACCTACATATTCTGTTGTTTATTTTTCTGCAACGTCTACCAGAATCCTCATTCTGCTGTATCTGTTCAACCTTTCTGTTCTGTTCTGATTTGCTTTTCTCTCTTACGACTTCATCAATGATCCTTCACGTCCTCTGCAGTCACAGAGTCATCCGCTTTACTTTTCCTGTTAATGTGTGTTTAATACTATGACTACTTTTAGCATCTATTTGGGTTAATATAAATTGTTTAACTTGTATCTAGTCTCATATATAGGCCATCCTACTACCTCACTAAAGCGATTTGGGATTGATTGTGCTGCACTGTCCGCATTGATAAATCATATACAAATTCTATGATTATCATGTTAGAATCAGGCACCACTAAAACTGAATTCCAGGACTTGAAGGAAGCCAATATGAAAGTCATTAGATAATATTAAAGTAAAAAATTATACCTGGGTCAATTTCTTCTTTCTGCAGGAGCACATTTCAAGAAATGGTGTGTTATGCAATCCAAAATAAAGTCAGGGGCAGTCAATGAGGTTAGTAGATCTTTCGTTGACAAAGTTATTTCATACAGTAGTTCTAAGTCACAGGTATTAATGGCTTTTTATTAATAAAAAAATTGTTGTTTAACAATGTAGTACAAGAAAGAAGTTGATGTCATGTTAGATGTTGCGCGATCATTCATAAAATCACATACTTTTTCTAATGACGAGGATGGCGAGGTTTCTTCGCTCGTGACCCTGGAAAGCTAATATTTTTTGGCAACCTCAGATTAGGGTTTTATTTATCTGTGTGTAACCCTTTTTTTGGTTTTTATTATATATAACACGCATAGCCGAAATATATGTATATTTGATTGCAATGGGGGGATTTTGTCTTGTGGATCCCCGTTGGTAAATTTCGGAGGGGGATTCTGTTTTTTTTTTTTTTTTTATTTATCTAATGGAAAATGAAAATTTCTTTATAGTTCCTATAGTTATAAGATTTTTCCTTTCAAGAAAAGTAATCAAACGATCTAGCACTCTGTTGATAAAGAATTATGGGAAAAATTATTTTGACAAATTGTGATTTTAAGTTTGCTAATCATGGACAAAAACTAGACAAATTGAAACTAATTATCCACAAATATAAAGAAAAATAATGATGTAGTTTTTAGATGAAGAATATTGGATACAATAGGAAATACGTTATATATGATTATCAAATATTATTTTAATTAAATATACTAAATATATGTATATATAATTAGAAATATAAATGTGAAATAAAAATTATAAATTACTATGCATCGTTTAGAAAAAAATAATATTAATTTCATTTTCATGTTGAATATTATTTATAAATTAATTAGTTTTTATCGCTCGGTCATTTAGAATAATAGTGTCATTAAGAGATTTTCAACATTTTATAATATTTTTTACTAATGATTTCACATCTTAAATTTTTTTCGTTATATTTTTTATTTTTCTTACCCAAAAATCATAAATTAGTATGTACATGACCTAAATCTTTTTTAAGGAGTTAACTTAATTTTTTTCAATGAATAATAAAAGGAAAAATATTTTAATTTCTTTTACAACAAGAAGAATAAGGTTAATTGAGAAACTTTAATACTAACTTTTGAAGGAGAGGGGTAATGAAGTTATGAATCACCAATGTTCATATATCTTCAATTTAGTCAAAATAATCAAAACTATTTGATTTTGATGAGAAATTAACATATTTTGGTGTAATATTTCTTTTATCCTCACTAATTGTAAGATGTTTTTTATTTTTATTTTTCTTCCTAAAAATCTTTTCATTCTCATGTCATTCATCAAGGTTTAAGATCCAATGCTCACTTATCTTCAATATATTAAAAAAGAGAGTAAAAGTATTAATTTTAATGAGAAATCAATATAATTAAGTGCCTCATTTCTTCTATTATCAATAATTACAAAACTTTTTCAAACACTTTCTATTATTATCTTGTGAAATATTTTCATTCTTACATCACCCACCAAGAGTTATAATCTAAATGTCCGCATACCTTCAATTGAGTAAAAAAAGAAAATATATATTTAATTTTGATACAAAGTCAATTTATTCATATACAACATTTTTTCTATTCTCACTCCTTGTAATTTTATTTTTTAAATACTTATTATTCTCCCTAAAGATCTCTTTTCATTCTCATGTCATGAGATTCAATTTGAAATCTCTTAAATTCATTCTTCTTTGTAATACCTAAAAAAAAGTTCTTAATAATTTTTGAACAACTTTCTAAGATGGTTCATAAATAATATTAATAATTTCAAATGTAAAAAATTATTAAAAATGGTCAATGTCGAGAAATTGTTCATGAATAACATCAATAATTTCAGTAATCCGTTTACCGTGTATTGCATTCACTAAATAAAGTTGAAAAGGAAAAAAAAAAGAGAACTTAACAATTGATTTTTTTTCTTGAACAAATAAAATTTGATACTTGTGTGTAATAGGTAAATTGTGTTTACTTTTCCCGGAAAATAAATAAGACTGGCTTAAAAACAATGAGTATAACATTGAGTATATGATTTATACATATATAGATTTTTTTTTCTTTATATTGGATATAAAGAATATTTATGATAATAAAACTTTAAAAGAGAAAAAAGGAAGTGTAAATAGCATGAGTTTTCTTGATTTGGTATGTTATGCTGGTACATGGGCTTGAGCCCATGTATTGAAAAGCCTAAAATGATTGGACGAGAGAAGCATGGAGTGAAGTAACCCAAACAAGCGTTTTCACCTCCCTCAGTGTAATTGGTTCGATTCGAAGAGATGAACAAGGCTTTAATGGGTGGCTATGGCGTTGCCCTCATTGCGGTGATGTTAGCTTTGTGTTTACGTGCGTCATCGGAGCAGCTCAGTTCAAGAGAATGCGAGAATCTCGGTTTCACCGGACTCGCCTTGTGCTCTGACTGCAACACTCTCTCCGAGTACGTCAAAGACAAAGGTCAATACATTTCAGATCCCTTTCTCTCAATCAATTATTGTTCAAATCCAATTTTACTTTGTTTTATATATTCCGATCTGACTGTTATTTTGTCACTCGGTTAAGTGCGATTAGAGTCGCAGATAGGTTAGTTAGGGTTCCGTCACAATTGCCACCAGAATTGTACTAAGCTCGAAATTCTGTTGCAGAGTTGGTATCGGATTGTCTCAAGTGTTGCACGGAAGACTCCAATGATGCCACTACCAAGGTATGATCTCGGAAATAATTTTAAAATTTTGCTTTGTGATTGAAATGAATCGTGACGGTTTAGACCTAAACGAATCTGGTTCCAAATTATACAATATGCAGCTTACCATTACTAAATCAATCTTCTAAAGAAACTGTGTGTTTGGTTGAGTTTAAGTGAAAATGAAAAAAGTGTAAGGACCTGTTTGGTGTGAATAAAAAAAGATTTTTGTCTTCATTATTATTTTTATTGATTTACAATGGAGTCACCTTTCATTTACTTTATGTCTCTAAACGGGAAGTACTGAATAACATAACGTTTTTTAGCTAAATGTTTGAAAAAAAGAACCAAAGCGATGAGAATGATGGAACTTTTTTTTGTAATTTTTAGTAATAAGGGGGAAATGAAAACAAGATTTTTTTTTTTTTCCAAACAAAAATTCCCTCACATGGTGTTTGATTTATTTTTTGTTTTCATTTGTAATTGATAAGTTTTACAGTTAATTACAAAATGGTCATGTTGTTACATTAGTTCTTATTTTGAAGATTGTTCTGAAGAATAGTGAAAACAACTTAATGTTGTGTTCGTCATTTCCTTCACAACATCTAAGAAAACATGAAACAATGTGAAAATAAGGTGAAGTTATATGAGGGTTTGAAAGTTGCAAAAAACCAGGATGTTTGAGGAGAGTGTCTTTGCAGTAACTGTAATTATTTTGTCATTTCATCATTCCGCACCATCTTGCTCCCTCCCCAACACACACAAAGACAATATGGAGGTAAGACATTGTCATTAATTCTTTTAACTTTTAGATTACGTACTCTGGAGCTTTACTAGAAGTCTGCATGAGGAAACTTGTTTTTTACCCTGAAGTTGTTAGCTTTATTGAAGAGGAAAAAGATCAATTTCCATCAGTACAAGTTCAATACGTGTTTAACGCTCCACCAAAGCTAGTTATGCTGGATGATTTTGGGCATCAAAAGGAAACAATCAGGTGAGACTTCATTTGTTATCTGCAAATTAGTACCTTGCTAGCATCTTGTTATCAGAGTTCATCATTGGTTTTGTTTTCCATAATGCTTGCATTGTTGATTTTTTAAAAATGCTTAGTGGTTGTTATTCAAAGGATAATGCAACAACCAAGTGTTTTTCCCATTACCAAACAATGCCATAATGTTGTATTGTGAATCTTGTCTATAAAAAAACCACTGATCTCTGAATCATTCTTAATGTTTTCCTCTAAATTTTCTTTGACTCCCAAATACCTCTGGCAATAGTATTTCTATTCAGAAGCTAGGAAAGCCATGACTTTGATTAACATTGTAGAACTTGTACAAATGTTTTAAGTTGACTAAAAGCAGTCATTGCATTTGCAACAATCTTTTACATGGTTTTCTAGGTCTATGTAAAACAATACTCACTATTCACTTGATGATTAATACTAAGCTTGTTGTGGTGCGTGTATCATAGTTATAAGGGATTTGTTTGTCCATTAAAGTAAATAATATAGTAAATTACTGTTTGAATTATGTACTAAAAGAAATAATTTATTTAACTTTTAGTAGATGGCTGTGAGGATTCCGACGAAACTAAAACATACACAAAAATAACCACAATGAATTTGAAATCTTTCTTAAATGTGATTTAAAAGCTATTATGCAGCTGCATTCTCTTTACAAAAAAAAAAAAAAAAGTGGTGAAAATTATATCTTTTTGTATACTCTCTAGGATTTAAAATAATCTTTTTCTTTTGAATGAAAATGAGTTTTATCATCTTTTTTATATTATTTTCTTTTTTTTTTTCTGTTACAGGATTGATAATTGGAAACGTGAGCATATACTACAGTTCCTGCGAGAGAAATTGAAGCCTAAGCCTCTTGCATCAAATTGAGAATCTTTAACCCATGGCATGCTCTGGGCTTACACAGAAAAAGAGTGGGGAGTATACACGGTGACTTAAGCAAGGGTCCTGTTTACAAGTAACCTAAATAACATAAAATCATCATTATTTGGGCAGTAAGGTAATTCTGGGTTTGGTCACAACTGATTTCAGTACGATGGTCTCCTTCTTCCAGATTATATGGCAGCTGTAAAATGACTTGTAACTGCAGTCTTGTAAGATTTTATTGGAGACAAGCAAGTTTCAGCGATAATGTGGGAATAGATAATGTAATTCATTTTAAAAGATTATATATATTTGATGTAATTTTTCTCTATTGTTCCCGTGAGCGTCAAATTCAGGTTTTTTTGTTAAATTGGTGTACACTTTTGAACTAATTGTGGATTTATAATCACCCGGGCGTCACATGCGATTTTTTAAATTTTTTTATTAATAATAAATAATATTTTAATAGTATAGTAAATATTAATAATAGAATAGAAAGAAAAAATAAAGAAAAAATAGTGTATATATTAAAATATCAACACAGATTTTTGAAAAAAAAATTAAAATAATAATTAAATATAAATATTCATTTTTCTTAAAAAATTTATGTATTATATTTTATACATTTTATTTTAATTATATTTTCATCAAAATTATTTAATTATTATATTATTTCATTATATTTAATAAATTTAAATATGATTTCATCATATTATTCCATCAGAAGCAGAATTATATAAGATACAAATAAGATACAAGTAGAATTAAAGAGTATACACGAATAGAGAACAAAATACAAGAATTATATTGGTTCATCCAAACTATAGAGTTACATTCAGTTTTTAACCAAATTTCAAATGGATTATATTTTTTATTATAAACTCGAATCACAAAACACTCAACTTATACTAAGAACTAATTTCCAATTCTTGAACCAATCCTTCACCAAGAACCAAGTTTCAGTTCTTGAACCAGTCTGCAACCAAATTTCAGCTGCAGAACTAGTGTCCAAATCTTCCAAATACCCACACAATATAGATATGAATTAACAAAAACAAAGAGAAGAAACTAGAACAATCAAACCCGGTTATCCAGATGTAATTCTTCCTCTGCAAAATGAGTTTCTTCACATGCAAAAATGACTCAAGAAAAAACTCTGAAAAACTTCACAAAAATTAGCGCGCTTCTTCCTTGAAAAGATCTCTATTGATCACTTGATTGATATATCAAAGATGTGTTTTAAAACGTTGAAGCAAATCTATTTATATAAAGACTTTTTCTAACTAACTGGTTTAATTAATCGATTATTAATTCTTGATTCTAATGGATTTAATCGATTAAAATGTCTTTTAATCAGTTAAAATGTGTTTCATAATTTTCCAAATTTATTTTAATTGATGCAAACACGATTTAATCGATTAAAACAATTGTACAAAAATTTCTTAAGTTATTTTAATCGATTGATTCGCGGTTTAATCGATTATAATACTGTTATAAAATTTCTTAAAACTTCATAAATGATTTTAACTGATAAAATCGATTAATACTGTCATAAAATTTCTTAAAACTTTATAAGTGATTTTAATTGATAAAATCATGGTTTAATCGATTAAAACATTTAACCAAAAATGGTTTAAGTTGTTTTAATTGATTGCTTCGAAGCTACATTAATTAAAATACTGACAAAATACTTTTCAAATTTTCTTAAGTGATTTTAATCAATTATTTTGAACTTACATCGATTTTAATCTTAGGTGATTTCTGTTGTAAAAGCTGACAGAGACACGAGCAAACTTTATTCCTGAGGCGTGTATAATCACTGCCCTTAAGGACTTATCCGCGGTGTATTGCGCAAGTCCCCCAGGATACAACAGGAACTTCTCGGAATATCCGAGGATCTCAGAAACTAGCAAAAAACTCTCAAAAGAGTAAAAGAGTAAATTAACCCAGGATCACAGAGAGAAGATCAGAGAAGAGAAGATGAGAGAGGTGTGTTCTGAAGAGTGTGAAGTGGTATCTATTTATAAGAGAAAGTATGTAACAGTTATGAAGACTTGGTAGTGGGTCTGTAACGTTTCCTGTAACGTTCTCTAAAACGGTCTTCTGCAACGTGTGCTCTGAAACAGTCTTCTGTAACGTGTGCTCTGTTTTGCAATACCCCTTAATTTACAACAATCCCCCACATATTGCAAAACAAAAGGGGATAAAAGAAATAAAAGAAGAAATCCTGGGTCTCATATAAGATGTAATGCATCAGAGCTGGTATAGCAAGCTATATGAACCAGTCTTAGACTAAAAAACTTAACACACAGTGTAGTTGGTGTAGCAAGCTATATGAACCAAAACACTTAATGTGTGTTAGAGGTTTTAATAATCACAATACACCCTCACAATTCTTGTTGTTATCGCTGTGTTGCGCTTACTAGGCCATGCGTGTGCCCGGTATTCATGAGTGCTCTAGAAATTTTGCAAAGATCTCATATAAGCGGCCCCACTCGACACTCATATAGGTGACTTCATCAAGCTATGGTGCAAGTCATACACCACCCTTAAGGGATATGAAATCGTTTAAAAAATTTGTTTAGACTAAAATTCGTACTCCACATAGAATTTTAATTACAAAGTTTAACCTCTCAATAATGCAGTATCTAGCACTTTCACATATACACCATAGGAATGGACATAATTGATTTTAATCAATTTTAGTGCTAGCAGAACTAATAAGTGACTTGTTTTTACCCATATGAACCTTATTCATGGGATCTCCAATCACAAAGGTTGGGTTACCATCACCTGTTTGTTTGCAAGTTGCTTAAGGCCCATTCCCCTCGATGTTTCTAAAATCATATTTCTCGCTAAGGGTTTTGTCAGAGGATCTGCTAGATTCCGTTCTGACTTCACATAGTCAATGGAAATTGTTCCATTCTTTAGCAGCTGCTTCACTAAATTATGTCTCAATTGTATATGTCTGTTTTTTCCATTGTAGTTCTTATTTTTTGCTATAGCTATTGCCGATTGACAATCACAGTGTATTGATACAGACGGGATCGGTTTCATTCCTAATGGAATGTTTACTAAGAAGTTTTTCAACCACTCAGCTTCACTACCAGCCATTTCGAGAGCAACAAATTCAGATTCCATTGTTGATCTTGCAATAATTTTTTGTCTGGCTGATTTCCATGTAATCGCACCACCTCCGAGTGTGAATACATAGCCACTAGTGGATTTTGTCTCATCTGAATCAGACCAGTTAGCATCACTGTACCCTTCTAGTACAGCGGGAAATCCACTATATTCAATGGCATAATCCATTGAACCTCTTAAGTATCTCATAAGTCTTGTAAGTGCATTCCAATGTTCTTGATTAGGACATTGAGTGTACTTACTCAGTCTACCTACTGCATAAGCAATGTCAAGTCTCGAAAAACTCATTAAATGCAGTAAGCTCCCAATTACCTGGGCATACTGAGGTTGAGAGATTGAGTCTCCTCTATTTTTCTTTAACTTAGAGTTAACATCATAAGGGGTATTCACTGGTTTGGCATTATAACACCCAAACTTCCTAAGAAGTTTCTCAATATATTGTTCTTGGGATAGAAAAATACTATCGCCCTTCCTTATGATTTTAACTCCCAAAATCACATTGGCTTCACCCATATCTTTCATTTCAAATTTAGATCCCAGAAACAACTTAGTTCGGGAGACAATGTCAATGCATGTATCAAATATTAGCATATCATCTACATATAAACATATAATGACACATTCACCACTCTCAAATTTAGAGTACACACATTTATCAGCATCATTAGATGAAAAACCATTACAAAGTATGACACTATCAAGTTTTTCATGCCATTGTTTTGGTGCTTGTTTTAATCCATATAAGGATTTTAAAAGTCTACATACTTTATTCTCTTGACCTGGAACAACACACCCTTCATGTTAAGTCATATAAATTTCCTCCTCTAATTCACCATTCAAAAAGGTTGTCTTAACATCCATTTGGTGTATAACTAGTTTATGGATAGCTGCTAGAGCTAACAAAACTCGAATAGAGGAAATCCTAGTCACAGGGGCAAAGGTGTCAAAATAATCAATGTTGGATTTTTGAGTAAAACTCTTTGCTACTAATCTTGCCTTAAATTTATCTATGGATCCATCAGAATGATATTTTTTCTTAAAGATCCATTTACAACCAATAGGTTTTGTTCCTTTAGGCAAATCTACCAAAGTCCAAGTATTATTTTTCTTAATTGAATCAATTTCAGTCTTAATGGTCTTATCCCAATGTATTGCATCAGGAGCCCTAGTAGCCTCTAAAAAACTCATTGGATCATTTTCAACTAGATAAGTGTAGAAATCATCTCCAAAGGAGGTTTCCTTCCTCTATCTTTTACTTCTCCTCAAATCCTTATATATTTTATCATTATTAATATCTATAGATTGTTTAGGTGTCTCACTAACCTTTAGAGAAAAATATGTTAAAAGAACTCAACAATTTTTTTTTCTCCACTATAGTATTATGCTCAATTATATCACTTTTGAGGACAAAAAACCTATAGGCAGCACTATGTTCTGCATAGCCTAAGAACATACAATCAGAAGTTTTAGAACCTATTTTCCTTTTCTTATGATTGGGTAACATTACCTTAGCTAGCACCCCCACACTCTTAAATATTTAAGATTAAATTTATAACATCTTCATAACTCGTAGAGAGTTTTACCAGTTTTAAAAAAACACACTATAAATGTATCTTCTCTTAGAGGTTATTTGGTGCACTAGAGTTCTTGATTAAGTATACTTTGGTTTATCTAGAGTAATCATCTATAAATGTCACAGATCATATGAATCAATATTATAAGCAAAAGAATAACATTCATTAACAACCAAGGGCTTTGGTCACACTATCTCTTTCCTACAAATACATTATTTTTTGTCATAACAATCTTAACAGATTCGAATGACACTTTAACCCCAACTTTTCCAATAGTGCTACAGAGAT